AACGTGGCTCTAGTAGACCTATGCAACCAGCATTTCTGCAGCTGATAATTCCTGAGGGTGCTTGTTTAATGGAGTGCCCTAGAGCATGAAGGGGAATACAGTGAAGATCTGTATTTTCTTTCTGCTCTGATCCCGACAGGATCCTTAGTGGAAGGGATGATGTGTCAGCCACCCATAGCAGAAATTCCTAGACCTAACAGGGAGGGTTTAAGAGAAAGATGCTGCAGAGGAAATGGGTTGGGACTCCATTTCCTTAAGGGAGAACTGTGATCCATGCAAGCAGGCCCACGCATGTATGTGAATCAGAGCTTTAGTAAGGAAGAAGTAGGGGCTGGGAGATTTGGCTTCACGAATATTCATTAGTATTAGAAAGTGGGTAGGAACAGGAATGCTGTTTATTCAACACAGTTCTACAAAGGAAAAATAGCTTATCAGCCTGCTCCTCGTCCTTTCCCTTCTCTCCAGTCTGAACTAAGAAGGGGACAGGCATCAATATGTACTTGTAGCTTCGGAAAAGACAACACAGACCCTCTTTTGTCTTGGGCAACTCCCAACATCAACGCCTTATGGAGTGCAATGAAACTGCTTTGGAAGCTTCAGCTACCAGATGAGGCTCAATCCATCAAGCATGAATTTATGTGACTGGCAGGAAGCATGTCAGCCTCAGCAATGTTTATCGAATGCCACCCAATCCCTTCTCAGACATCACCTGCAGTAAATGTATTAACCTGCTTTGTTGCTCATTGGATAAAGACACTTCAGTAAAAATCCTGCTGTTCCAGACTGGTTACTGAAGATTATGAGAAAACTGAATCTCCTGAAAAATCAATCCTAACCCCACTTGTCTGAATCTCCTCCATGTCTTAGGGGCTGGCTTTAGTTGTGCTAGCTCAGACCACTTTTTCCTTACTTTTCCCAGTCTTGTGCTCTTAATAAAAAGTTGTGGGAAGTTAATTCAATGTATAGAAATAACTCATTGGAATTATTCAGGAGACTTTCAAAGGGAAAAATTCTACTTCATTATTGATCCAAGCTTTCCTCCCAATCATTTAGAAATGGCTAGCCATGGCTCCAAATTAGCAGACAGTAGCATCTCAAAGCCTGGTTTATAAGTAGCTGAACACCCCTGTCTAATCCAGAGAACATAAGACTGAAATGTAAATATCAGCTACTTATAGCTAGAAATAAACTATCTGCTTCTCAGACAAAACTTCTTGATATTTGTATTAACACACTAGGAAAGAATTGCCCATGTTTTCCTTTACCTATAATGGAATATATTCATAAAAAGGAAACATTTGTTATTTTAAATTTGTTTTGACTTGCCATTGAGGGTGAAAAAATGATGTGAGAATTCAAGATTGTATCTGTAAAATCTGCATCTATGAATATGTAATGAGGGGCTGTTTGTACATTTTGCGCATTTATTTTGAAACCCCTTCACTTTATTTTTCAGTTCATAAAGTGCACCAGACCATAGCTAGGACAGCATAGACAGCTGAATTAAAATACAAAAATATCCAAAGTGTACCTGCACCCCTTAAGTACATCTGTTAAGAACTATACACCTCATTATAATGGCCACATTGTGATGTCAAGTATGACATGAACCTGTTAAATACACTGCTTTACATGAAAAGTTCAATAACAGTTGCTTTTTTATATTTAGTCCATTAAAACAAAGTATACCAGACTTGTAGATATTTTCTCTTATTTTTCTATCAGTATACTTAACAATATAATACATCAACAAAATTAAATCATTATTATTGCATTTAACTTGGGAACAAGGAGAAGTAAAATTAGCCACATTGATTATTGTTACAAAGAAATGCCAAACAACAGATCAAATGCCAGATAGTCTGTACAGGAAACAGCCAAATAGTTTATATCAAACATGTTTCTTATCAAGGCCAACATTACCGTCAGTTATAAAAAGCTTATAAACAAATCCTGAATCCATTCACATTGAATTTGGTGGCACTATTCCCCAAATTCAGTGGGAGGAATATTTTGATTAAAAAGCTATGCAATGAAATGAAATGCCAGAAGTCATGTTACTAAAAAAAGCCACTGTCATAGGATAACTGCCTCTTGGTGTACTGCAAATTATGGGCCTTAATTGGCTAAGGTCTTAAATGCAAAGGTAAGCAACTTCATGGAAAATATAGGTCTAGGTAAAGCAGGAGATGCTCTTGTGACCATTAATTTACAATAGCTTCATTTATATATGTCAAATAATTTATTTGGGGTTAATCATTTATTCCAAAGGTTATAGTATGCTAAGTGTAATCATTGCTCACTTTGGCCCTAATGCACTGGTGCTCAACCTTTGTTACAAATGGGTCTAACCTTACAATCTGAAATGGAGGGCTGCAAAGAAAAGCATTAGAGAGCTGTGCTTTGGCATATCCTAACAGTAAGAATTTTAAGTAATATTAGAAAGGAAAACATACATTTTTAGTAATTTTAGGCATCTTAATACAAAGTAAGAGGTTTAATATTCTGTAGTATTCTTTTCAATTTTATACAAATAATTAAAATTTAGAATTGTTACAAAAAATAAGATGACCAGCTATAATATTACACAAGTTAATTAAAGAATTCTTTCAAATGACAGACGGAGGTTGCCCAGCTAGCAGCACTGTATCTTACTTCAGCTCCCCGTACTTCCCTGTGCCCTACCAGTGTCCCTTAAGGCACAGCCATGTCCTTCGGAAACAAGGGGGGAGTGGAACCATGCTCTGCTCCACAGCAGCAGGGCTTTCTTTGAAATAACTTATTTTTTTCAGGTGCTATAGCAGCCCTGTGCTATACCACAGCCCCATAGGCATGCATGCATGCAGTTGCTAAAAGCAGACCAACACTGCCTTTCCCCTTCCAGCTGCCAAAGTTTTTATGGGGCTCTGGAGCCCAGGAGCTGAACGTTGATGCTGATCTCCTCCTCTAAACCCCCCACCGCTGAATTCAGCAGCAGGGAAAAAAAGGGCCAAGCAACAGCGGCTGTGCTTAACTCCCGGGCTCTTGGAGCTGGATGAAAGCTCCGAACTTGTTGGCGTATGAGCACAGGTGAACACCACTGCTGCTCAGACTCTGGGGAAAGGAGGAGACAAGCAACAGGCGTGCTCACCTACATTGGCATGGCAGTGATAAGCTGTTTACACCAGCTTCATAGGCTGCATGTGGCCTGGAGCCAGAGTTGAGCACCAGTGACCTAACAAATAAAACCAACCAAGGTCCAAACAAAACAGCTTTGCCCTAATAAAATGTCCCAAAGCATAGCAGGCTGGGAAAGGAATCCGAATCATCTAGTCTACAGTCTGCGGGCCAGATCTGGCCTATGAAACCGTTGGCTTGACTTAAGGTTTCAGTGATGTTTGTGGTGGGGGGCGTCTTCTACGGATGATCTCCCTGTGCTGCCAGGGAGACGAGTGGTGGCAGTAGCAGGGTCGTGGCACCTGGCCACCTACCTCTGACCTGGGGTGGGTCATTCCGGTCCACGGCCAGAAAAGGTGGCCAACATCTGGTCTAGTGGATGGACAACATGAGGCTGAGCTGACTGGAAAAGAAACTTGATGAATCTACGCCCAAGAGTGTTTATGCTTAGGGTGCCTCAAAAAATAAGCTCTATTTTACAGTACTACTAATATTTAGTACTTATCAAGTACCTTCCAAAAGGACTTTACAAACATCAAGTGAGTCCAAATCCTACTGCCCTTATGCTAGCAGGATTCTCATTGACTATGCAATGGAAGTTTTGCCTGATTAAAGACAGACCAAGGATGGCAGGATTTGGCCCATATTCATCAATCCTCACAGCACCTATTTGAGGTAGGTAAGGAAGTAATATTATTCACTATTTTACTGGTGACAGAACTGAGGTGCAATGCCTAAATGACATGCCCAAGGCCACTGAAGGAATCAGAGGTGGTGCTAGGACTTGGGACTTTGTGATCATAGGACTAGACGTAAAGGATGAAGTTGTGGCCTAAAGCTCCAGCCTGAGCTGAATGGAGTTGGACTTTACTGTGCTGCCGCCAGAAGAGGGTGCAAAGGGCCTTTACTACAACTAGCAGGGCATATATGTCCCACCACATGAAGTACTTTACTACTTCGTTGGTATACCAGCCATGGCTGTCCTTAAATGTTAAAGCAGACCTTAAATATTAAAGACTACCCAGATAAATGTCAGAGATGAGACAAACTGCGTTAACATATTTGTGATAATCTACAGATGTACTGAGGTACTCATTTCTGAGTATTTGTATGCCATCCTGCTTGGCAGGGCTACCTCAAAAAAGGGGTAACTTCACAAAATACATCCTGGCATTAAGGCTTTGTGAACTGGCTGGGGCTGTGATGCCATTCCTGGATATACCCCACAGCATTCGGAAATGCCATAAATAGTCTCTCCCTCTGTGGAACAAACCTCACAGAAGGGGAAATGTGGTTTGAGAAATTCCACAAATTATGGAATATCTCCACTTCTGCTGCATTCTTCCCTCTATAAGAGGGATCCGGGCCATGCACATGGGGTATGGAGCGTGGCCTTTTAGCAATTAGGAATCTGAGGATTCATGAAGAAATTCAAGTCCATCCTTGGAAGTCTTGGGGATCTCCATGCTGCTCCTCTCTCCCCGAGAAGCTTTGCTGAGTTGAGCTGCCATATGTTCCCTCCTCGAGGACATATATCATCCTCTAAACTTTGCTGAGTGGGGTCAAAAGCTGTGAAGGGGAGTTCATGCTCCACCTAGCAACATTTAGTCATGCACAGATTTGTGCTTGAAAATCCAAGAGGTTTGAAGATGAGCATGGCATACAGCGCTGCTGCTCCCTGGTTCTTCACCACTCACCCACCTCTAAGTGGTGAGAGCCACAAAGGATTTTAATGAACAAACGTTGAGGTCATAGAGAGGGTGCACCATATTACGTTGGCTCCAATGGCCCTGATACTTTTTGTGGCCTTAGGGCCTTTATAGTCATTACCCACTCCTCTTACGTCTTCCATTTTGCACAGGAGGAAAGGACAGCATTTCCGATAGCCCCTACATGGAGTGCCTGTTGGTAAAGAGGCTATGAGAGGGAACGCCTAGACAGGTCGCCTGTCTCAAGTTTGGCCCATCTCCAGAAGTTACCTCAGTTACTGGCTTGCACTGCTCTCCAATACAATCACTTTTCCTTTTCTCACATTAGTAGGCTGTAAAAATAAAATCACAGGCCTCCAGCTAATTGTGATTGTCTCGCTTTGTGGAATTAAAAATGCCTACCAAACTGGATTATTTTTGGGACTGAGGGTCTACATAAAAGGCCAAAGTTCAATGTAATTTATGTCTTATCACTGCCAACCTATAGATACAACATTTTGAGAACCTGCAATGAAGAATACATCCAGCTTTTACAATTCTGCATTTGCTTAATAAGTATTGGAAAATGTTTGATATTGGCAACAGTGTGAAGAAATAACTGCCTATGGATGTGAAACACTTTGAATAGTAATATGTCACAACTAAAAAGAAAAAATATATATATTTTCACTCCTGTTCTTGATTTCAAGTTACTGAATTTTTATGCTTTTGCAATTCTTGTGATAGTTGCCACCAAACAGATTTTTATCATTGAATAGTCGCATTTACTGGAAGCTGAAAGGTAAATGAAAATAAGAAAGTACAGAATATGCATTTTGTTTCTACTCATCTCCTAGAAGAACATTTTGGTTTTAAACAGCATCTCCACTGTAACTTGGGAGCAGTAAGGAACAGATGAACAGTAAATTGTGTTTTTCATCACTGAAGTTCTTTGTTTGTTTAAAATAGCTGGATCATTGACTCTCTTGATTTTCCAACTCCAACCCATTTAACTAGGGAGGAAAAAACAACCATTAGAAAAATTCCTGGGTGCAAACAGCATTTTGAATGAATTTTAATCATTTTTCTATTTTTAAGTCACGTGTCAGGACAAAATGATCAGACTTCAACACTAAAAGTACTGAGAACAAGTGTCTGTTTTTATTTATATTTTCTTCTCTTACTGTATTGCTGGGCTATAATACAGACCAGACTGACACTGAAAACACATACCATGAACGCAGAGCACTAATAGAGGAGTGAGCTACATCTACTGCATGTTTAACTGTCATTATTGTGAGTGACAGGGTGTCCAGCTAGCAAGTTTGGTCAGATTGTAAAGATACTTGATGTGGACAAGGGAACAGTGATGCACGCGCACCATACCGGGCGGGTCTACATGTGACGCTACTTGCCGTAGTGTCAGCAGGCACAAACTGTGATGCTGATGCTACATTGCCGCAGCAATGAGCTACCTCGCTATAGCGTGTTGCTACAGCGACGCAGCTGCTAAAAATAACTGCGCTGCCAGGGCGGGGCAGTAATGGCTGTTACTACACCATCATTTAGTACTTCCTAATGCAAGTACTAAATGACTACGCAGTAACAACTGCACCATGGGGAGCACATGTAGACGTGCCCACAGTGGTTTAATGCTGAGGTTGCAACTTCATTTAAAGCTGATACCTAACAAGGACAAGTGCATATAGTACAATGAGGACAAGTGCAGAGTGCTGCACCTAGGGCACAAAAATATCCAGCACATCAACTGGCTGGGAAGTGACCCTCTCAGTAGCACAGAAGCGGAAAGGGACCTCGGAGTCACAGTGGACTCCAAGATGAACGTGAGTCATCAGTGTGATGAAATCATGAGCAAAGCTAACTGCACTTTATCATGCATCAGCAGATGCAGGACAGACAGATCCAAGGAGGTGATGCTTCTCTTCTACGCGGCGCCGGTCAGACCGCAGTTGGAGTAGTGCATCCAGTTTTGGGCACTGTACTTCAAGAAGGATGTTGATAGACTTGAGAGGGTCCAGAGGAGGCCACTTATATGGTTAGGGGCTTACAGGACAAGAGGAGAGACTGAGGGACTTGCACCTCCTCAGCCTCTGCAAGAGAAGGCTGAGAGGTGATCTTGTGGATGCCTACAAATTCATTACGGGGGTGCAGCAAGGAACCAGAGATGCTCTGTTCACCAGGGTGCCTCTTGGGGTAACAAGGAGCAATGGTCACAAACTGAAAGCAGATTTAGGCTAGATATCAGGAAAAACTTCTTCACAATGATGGTGGCCAAAATTTGGAATGGGCTTCCAAGGGAGGTGGTGCGCTCCCCTACCTTGGGGGTCTTTAAGAGAAGGCTGGATAGGCATCTGGCTGGGGTCATTTGACCCTAGCGCTCTTTCCTGCCTAGGCAGGGGGTTGGACTCGATGATCTATTGAGGTCCCTTCTGACCCAAGTATCTATGAATCTGTGAACTGAAACAGCCACCCTTGTACCTAGCTGGCTTCTTTTGGTGCTGTTCTTAGACACTACAAGCATGAGGGTGGGTGTAAAGGTCAGATACCCTCAATTTCCTTAAGCCTGTCCAGGGATCCTGACTTTGCTCCAACCTGCTCCCCTTCTCCAGGCTGGATGCAGGAGAAAAATAAAGAAGTAGAACCCTTTTGCATGAGATATGGTGACATATTCCTGTGTATAATATGCTGTGCCCACAATCAAAGCCCAGGCAGCCTGCAGAGCTACAGGAACCTCACTCAAGACACTTTCTAACCCCACAGTGACATGCCACTGCCAGCTATAATGTAAGCCTGGCAAACTGTTTTTGGATGCCAAATGGAAGCTGAAAACCTAAATGTCTGTTTGCCGGTTCAGCTGTATGGGGGGAATACTTTCCAGTTCCCTGCCCTGGCAATAAGCCTAGCTTCTGGCATCAAAGAAGATCTAGAAAACTTCTAGTTCCTTTAGGCAGAACTCAGTCTCATGGCTCTGATACCACCCTCATCAGCCATAGTGGCAGCGCTAGGCACAGCAGGCTCCAGTGCAGGCATCTATATGCGATACTCTTCCCAGCCTGCAGCTCAAAGAAATGGGAGAGGGGGAAAGGAAAGAGAAAGAAGCAGCCCTCCCCTCACTACAAACAAGCAAGGCGAGTGGAAGGCGGCAGGGAGGGAAGAGGAGGGAAGCAGAAAGAGCACACAGCATGCAGGCCCTGGTGTTCATAGTTGTGATCTGGTCTACTGCTTCCTCATCGCATGTCCCCACAGCTCCAATCCCAGAAAGGGCTAACCTAGTTAGGTGGGTTGAACATTTAGACACAGCTGTATTTACATGCCATGGCATCCCCATGGGCACAGCCAAAGGAACATTTACCTGGCACCCCGACATGGTTTTCCACACATCGTATGTAATTCTGTGCCTTGGGTGGGAGGTCTTCCCATTTTCTCGCAGCAGTTGTGTCAGTCTTCCACCCAGGCATTGTTTCATACTCCACTTCTACTTTCTGTAGTATTTCCTGGTTAGCTGTGGAAACACAGTTAATACTAAATAAGACAATAGTTCCACATAAACAGATCTTGGGTATGGAGATTGATCTTAAAAAAAGTCTGGTAACATTTAAACCCAATGCATGAAAAAGGAATATTATAGTGTCAAACACTTGTTTCCTCATTACTGCATACTTAAAGATAAATTAAATCTTCCTGAGAAAGACCATTCTGACTCTCAAGGGTCTGGTGACACATTCCATTTAATTTACTTCAGAGCTGAAGTAATATTTTTAGGAGGATAAGGAAACAATTATCTACAGTAGTTTTATTTTGTCAGGTCAGCTCCACAAGCAGTGGCAAAAATGGAATCCCTAGATCAAGATCCTTCATGTACTTCCCTTCTAGGCATACTCCATATGCTGCACTCTGGGTGTATAGTTACTTGGGGGAACAGAAACACCCAGGCATGCACATAAAACTCTGAGCAAATCCCAACATTTTAGTTGCAGAAAAAGCATGCAGATGTTTGCTGCCACAGCCCTTCTACTACTTAACCCAGTAGTCTACTTGGTAGGGCACTTACCTAGGGAGCAAAAGACCTAGGTTCTAAGCTTCCCTTATTAAGAGGGAGTTTGAATCTGTGTCTCCTGTTTTCCAGCAAAGAGCTCAGGCCACAGATTAGACAATAGCTAGATTAGCTTCCATTCTTCCTATTGAAGCTGGCCATTGGGGAAGCACAAGTCAGAGGCAGAGTAATTTAGTGAAACAGATGCTGTAAATCAGTCATTAGTGCCTTCTTTGACTGCTCAGTTCGAGTTAGAAATTAAGAAGTCCCTGGCTACATCTACACAAGATGCTGACTGTGCAGCAGTCTGATACTACTGCACAGTAGCATCGCATGGCAACAACCGTGATGTGACGTTACTGCACAGTAGTGTCACAAAAAAGACATTTGTTGGCACTACTGTACAATAACTCAGTAATGATTGTGCAGTCAGCGTCTCACATAGACACGGGCCCTGTGTTGTATTATTAGGTAGTATTGTTGTGTGTAGTTAGTTTGGAAGATAAGAGGGCTAGTGGAATTAGTGGATCGTTGTGTGCAGCACTCTAAATACATATATATTTGTATTCACTGGGAGCAATTCTTGGCTATTCTCTACCATGATCAGCAGGCCACAGGACTGTTATAGCACCAGGGAACATAGCACATGGGTGAAAGGTATCTACTTGCTGTTGCCACTTTAGTCAATTCATGAGTTAAACTGAGAACCTCTAGAGGGAGCCCTCCTGCTTGAAATTCAATGGGAACTGGGCACATGATACCCTTCTGGGTTGTTTTTTTTAAAGCCTTGACCACAAATAATTTGGAGCACTGTATGGCTTCTCGGGGAAGGAGCAAACGTGAAAAAAACCAAGAATCCTTGGACTTGGAGAATATCATTTGGGTAAGAGAAGCGGAGCATGAAGAGTGACCAAACTTTATAGGGTTGTACATCATTAAATTTTAAGCTGAGTTTCAATATATGAAATATTGTTTTAAACAAAAGCCAAAAAGTTTTAACAGAAATAGTATTGCGGCAAATATACTAACTTACATGTTGATTGCTGCTTATTATAGTGGCATCCAACAAACAACTTTGCCCTGATTGTATCAATCTCATTTTTCATAACATAAACCCTCATTTTCAATTTCATTTTCTTTGGCAAAACATCATGACACTGACACACTCCTCTAGCCACAACTCTTGTTCATCAGACATTAAAATGCATTGGTAAATTGTAATGAAACAAAAATTCAATAGGGCTGTACACACAGGGCCAAAGGCTAGAATTTCTGTCAACCTGCACCTTGTGTAACAATTCGTACAGAGTGGACATGTCTACATGTGTGCCCGACTGCGTAGTTGTTACTGCACTAAATGACTGTGGAGCACTGCTACTGTGCAGTCCTGGCGGTGCATGGGTCATTTCCGACCCTACTACACAGTAGCAGTGAGCTACTGGGCAGTAGTGTAGCATCACTGTTTGTGTCCGCTGACACTATGTCACCGTAGCAATGAGGTGTGTCACCATAGTTTCTCACTATGGCAATGTAGCATCTTGTGAGTGTAAAATGCTACTACTCTGATTTGGGAGTATTTTACACCCACCTTCTATGCCTGTACATTCCTATGTAAGGTGTAAGGCAAAAAACAGAGATCAGCTCTAATTTTTTTAAGTGTAAACCGCTTGACAGAAAGCAGAGAAAAACAGATCTTCAAGCAATATTTCAACATTACCTGGAAAATATGGAATTCTTTTTCCACCCAGTTTGTAAGCAACACCAATTTTAATCTCATCAAGGACATCCAGAATATCCAGTTTTGTTAATGCCAGACTGTTCAGAGAAACATGGGATAAAGTTACACACAAAATAAATCCTTCTATCATCATCATCTTTAATCCCTTCCACCTGCTTTTTCTACTTTTGTGCTCATGGACCAAGCTCAGCCAGCCCAGTAAACAGGAATATGCAGATATATTAAAATATGAACTTTCTTAACTGAATGCATGCCTCTGAAAACTGAATTACCAAGCTTTACTTCCAAACACTTAGCTGCTCATATAACAAACACTACTAACTGCATCCTTTAAAATGCAATTCTGCCCAGAAAACTTGATAGTAAAACGGCACTTTTATTTATCACTCCTAGCCTCTATTCGTGGATTGACATTATCCCTTTACCTTAATACTACTAATTATTCCTGTTATCCATGTAGAACTGACATGACTGAGAGAGAAAGAGCTGGGTTTTATTTTGGCTTGTGTACCAACAGAATTATTGATTAAATTCCAGGTACAGGGCCAATCAGTTACCCCTCACAGCATCATTTGTCCTAGAGAGTCTTCATTACTGCTGATGATACATCATAAGAAAAATTTCCAGTCTAGCATTCAGGTCCTTGGATAAGTTAAAAAGGTTCTCAATTACTTCTTGGCTTGAAACATTTCATAAAGAAGTCATCAAAAGACAAACAAGGCAGCCAAGAAGCCATTTCACGGAGATACTTTTTAAGACAGACTGCACTTTAAAGCAGGCATTAGACACTTCTAAAACTAACATGCCAGATCCTCAGTGGGTATAAAGGTCAAACATCTAAGCATCTGGCCAGGCATGTGTGCATTTCAGAGTTACATTTACTCAGGGTCAAGGAGGATAAGACTAAAAATGTGAGGACTGTCTGGAAAGATTTGGGGAGAAAGGACAAGCACTGGGCTACTTTTTCTTTGTGTTGCTTGCAGCATACAACTTTCCCTTGTGACCTGTGTGTTAAAGGTCTGCAGTACTGATACAGCTGTCTGAACAAAAGAGTAGTAATTACGTGTCATTGACATAAGAAGGGAACCAAACCGTTCTTTAATACTACTTCCACAAAATGGGAACTCTATATGTGAAAGCAAAGCATGACTTAGGTAAATACTCTATTTAAAAAAAAAATAGTGAACAAGGATTGTTTCATTTATTGGTTTCTTGACTGATAAAATGTATATTTTAAAAATAATTACTCCACCAGGCTGGCAGAAAAGGTTAATTTTGCAAGGCTGAAGTAAACCTACCTGGCCAAATTTTCAGCAATCGCTATTTATGCAGCTGTAAAATTTGCAGGTTCAAGTATTTGTGCGTATGAAGCCCTTTTGCATTGACCAATATGCAAGTCTGTAAATTATGGGCATATTTTTAGTGGACGTTTGTTACGTAAAATCCAAATGTACAAAATGATGTTTCATTTTAAAATTAAACTTCATAGCAATAATTCAGGTTAGCTGTTATGTATAGCACTAGCCACAAGCTGATATAGGCACTTTTACACGTGCTTTGACACATTCTGATTAGAGTGCAGAGCTGAGTGTGCTCAAGAGTCTGAATCAGAACACTCCCCCGTGCCGCAGTGTCTCGTGTATTCAGTGTCCCCTGCTGAATACATGAGACACTGCCGGCCATTTTTAAGTAGAGTGACACCTGAGAGCTGCTCTAATTAAAATACCCCCTCCCCACCCCGGAGCACGTGTACAGATGCGCATAAGCTCTAATTTAGCTTGACAGTGTTATGATCTGAAATACCTGCATCAAGCAGTCAATGCTTCCTCAAAAATGGAATTTCAAAATACATTTAAAATTTTAAAACACGGTGATTGAACCTGTCATCCATTCAAGTTGCCTGGCCATCTTAAATATCAACAAAATCTCAGCCCTTTAATCAGTTTTTTTAAAAACTGTTTCTTTTTTTAACATAGCCATATGGAAAAATTGTTTCCCTCAATTCTGGAAAAAAACATGTACTGACTACTGTGCACTTTGAGCCATAATGTTGACTTTATTGAGGGTATATGTGCTTTATTTTCTCCAAGTCTCTACTGTAAGAAACTGTTCCAGTGCTAACTGGAGTGAATGGGAGTCTTTTCATTCACTTCAGATCAGGACTTAAGTCAAGAGTGGGCAATTATTTTGGCTGGAGGGCCACTTAATGAGTGTTGGGAACCTGTCTAGGGCCACATCCATCTTTGTCTCTCTCTCTTTTCCCTCTTCTCTCTCTCTTTTTTCTTTTCTTTCCCTGTCTCTTCTCCCTCTCTCTTCTCTTCTCTCTTCCTTTCTCCCCCACTCTCTTCTTCCAGAACCCACTGGATCTGTAGTTCGCTGTAGAGGACTGGTGGCAGCATCAGCTGGGGATGCCGCTGGTAGATTCAGGAGCCTGGATGCAGACCCTGCCAGCGATGTCCACAGTTGACACTGCCCCCACCTGGTGTGGCAGCAACTTCTGCCTGGGTCCACAGCCGCTGCTGCTGCATGGGAGCTTCCACTGTGCTGGGAGGATGGCGATGTCAGCTGTGGACACCACAGGCGGGTTCTGTGTCTGAGCTCCTGCACCTACTAGCAGCATCCACAACTGACACTGCCGCCCTGCCCAGGTCCACAGCTGATGTTGCTGAACAGAAGCACTGCTGCCTGCCTGCCCAGCACCATACAGCAGCTGAAGCTGATGCGTACCCATGGGCCACATCCTATTACTTGGCGGCTATCCACCCGCAGGCTGGATCAAATCTGTTGGCGGGCCAGATCCAGCCTGCGGGACATATTTTGCTTATCCCTGTCCTAAGCCATATGGAATGTATTAGGTCAAGAATGTTGTAATGAAAAACTGTAGCAAAATCTATCTTTGTTCACTCCATCCCATTCAGTTGATATAAACAAGGTTTAAAAAACTCCAAAAACCTTATCAGAATATCGTTGTATCACCTGCTTCAAGAATAAACATATTATCAGCCAGAGACTGATGTGTCTATGACAATATTCTATTAAATCACATTATTGGTTGTAACACTTAACTGGACTGATCTTAACATTACCTACATATTTATTCCGCAAAGAGCAAAATTATCAGCTCCAAATGTAGCGCAAAATCTGTGATGCTTACGCAGTGAATCCGTTGATCATATGAGCATACTTCAAAATAACAAGGTCTAACCAGCCACAGCGTCTTTTTCTGCCTGTGGTGACACCCCATTCATGGCCTCGGGACTGTAAGAGGTCTCCAATTTCCTACAAGAGGAGAAAGAAAGACACTGATAGTGTTTCACCAATAAAGGGAACAAACATTAGCCAGTACAGGCAACTTATTTATTTTTCTTTTTCTTTTTAAATAGCAAATTTTAGTTCTCTTAAAAGGAATGTCACTAGGGACTAATATCCTCCATCTGTGGAAGCTGGTATAGCAGAGGAATTAGCAGGGAGAGGTTGTTTCCAAAATACTCTTTAAATGTTTCTGTTTATGGTCACCATCTAGAACTAGACTAGACCAGTGACTTGGCTGATGGATGGATAACTCATTTTTAAATGAAGTTATGCAGCTCCTTGACAATGTAAATACAACATACACCTTAAAAAGCAAACCATCAGCCCCTTGAAATCCTCCTCCTCACCCCCACTAAAAATACACATTTTTTATAAGCTTGTACATGATTGGCTGAAGCACACACCAGCTCTGTTTTTTAAATCATTCAGAACATCTCCAACCCTTAGACATGGGACTGTATCTTGTAGTTTCAAGTCCACACACAGTCAAAACTCCTACTGAAGTTAAGTGGAGTCATGCCTGAGTACAGATTGAAGGTTCTGGCCTATAGTAAACAACTGCTACAGTAATGCACTCATGGCCATCAGATAAAATGATAGCATCTGTATCATGCTATTTGTTATGCTAGACCAAGGCACTGTAATACACTATCATCATAATAGTATATCCTTTCCTTAAATATAAATGTCTAAGTTCATTGTGTAATTCAACTGCTCTCATGAATGTGATCTCTTGATGCTGCTAGGCAACATCAAGAGTTATCCTGGCAATTACAGATCACCAGGACCCCATTACCTCGTTATTAAAGCATTCAGTCCTATTGACCTTATTTCTTGGTTGCCCTACACCAGGGGTCGGCAACCCCCGGCACATGTGCCAGAGCATGGCACGAGGCCATTTTGCTTGGCACACCATCGCCAGCCCAGGCTTTGGGTAGCTGCTGCCAGCCACAGAGCCCAGGCTGCTGCCAGCAGGCAGCTGGGAGGCTGCAAGCCCTGCTGCAAGCAGCCCGGGCTCCATGGTTGGCAGAAGCTACCCATAACCTGGGCTGGCTGCAGCTGAGGGGCTACAAACAGCTGCACTGGGCTCCAGAGCCCCAGCTGGGCTTTGTGCCAGTGGCAGCTGCATGCACCCTGCTGGGCAGACAGTGGGGGAGCAGCCTGAAGCAGCGCAATGCCAGCCTCTCCCCTACCATCCATCTGGAGAGTTGCATGCAGTCACCACCACCACTGAGCCAGTGCCAGTGCTCCAGAGCCCTGTGCAGCTGTTTGCAGCCTGTTGCCCACCTGCTACAGCTGCCTAAAGCTGTACTGGGCTCCAGACTCCTTGGCCAGGTTCCGTGTCAGTGGTGTCTACACACGTGCCTTGGGGTGGATGGCAGGGGAGAGGCCAGGGTTGTGCTACCCCAGGCCCCTCCCCCACCATCTGCTCTGAGGCACATGTGCACCTGGCGGTGGTATGGAGCTGGTGCCAGGACTCTGGAGCCCAGTGCAGCTGTGTGCAGCTGGCCCAGACTCTAGGAAGCTTTAGCAGGCAGCCTGCAAACAGCTGCACTGGGCTCCAGGGCCCTGGCATCAACTCCATGCTGGCAGTGACTGCATGCACACCTTGGGGTGCAGGGCATGGAAGGGGCTGGGGCAGTGCAATCCCAGCCCCTCCACCACCATTGGCCCAGAGGTTCACATGCAGCCACTGCCATCAACAAGGATTGGGCCCTTAGCAGCTCCCCCACAGTCTGCTCCTGGCACACCATGTCAAGGCATGGGTCAGGGTTGGGGTGTTTCTGGCACTTCAGCCAAAAACATTGCCAACCCCTGCTCTACAGATTTGGTGCTGTACTGTCAAACCTACGTTAATCTGCTCAGTGGGAAAGGCTCCAATTCCCACTCTTGTGGTATAGGCCTTCACCACGCCATATACTTCACCAATGTTCTGGGGAGGAACACCGAGTCCTGTGCACACACCACCCACGGTGCAGTTCGATGAAGTCACAAATGGGTATGTGCCTGCCAAGAAAAAAACAAACTAAAGCAGATGCAGTCTTGTTTCCATGGAGATGAAAAACAAAGGCATTCCTCCCTAGCAATGTAAAGGGTATTTCACATGAATTAGTTTTCCAGACTGGGGCTCCTACGTCATGTAACTGCAGTAATAGGGTGCCTAAGATGCTCGTTCTGACAATTACAGAAAATCACAGGTTTTCTTATGCTTTGGGCTCCATTCTTTTCACAGTGAAGTATGCCCCAATACATGAAGTCATATGCATACATCCCTTGCACCTGATTTAAGACTGGCTGTGAAGATGAAATTCATAAAGCCCTCAGCACCACTCATATAAAGCACAGAGGCTGTGATGGGGCTGCTCATAAAGTACCTGCACAGAGGAGTGTTTCCATGAACTTATATATCACAGAAAGGGTTTTGGTGCCAGCCCTAAACAGCAGGGCACAGAAGGGTGTATAAGGCCTTCCAGTTCCTTAGATCAGACAGTTTTAGTGTCTTGTAGATCTTGCAGAGAGGGGCTGCAGTAAAAGGCTCTTCAGTCTACATGATGTCCACACAATAGGGACCTTTTCTGACTTGCTACTGTAAGCAAGGCTGATGCAAAGACAAAACAAACCATCTCTCAGGAGTTAAATCTCCTTAACTTACCAAAGTCAATGTCAAGTAGTGCTGCATTGGCACCTTCAACAAGAATTTTCTTTGGGGACCCATGAAGAGCTTCATACATAAAATAAACACCATCTCGGACCATTGGTCTTATTTTTTCAGCATATCCCTGAAAGTTTCAGTAGAAATACCAGTTTCACCAAACAGTGCTAGAAGAGTGGCTGAACAGTGTGGTCATCTGTGACAGAAAACTCACAAGTAACCCTAACATGACAGGCTCAAAACTACATTTCTCTTGTAAAATACAACAGTGCCTTTCTATATGTTAGGGTTATTTTCATACTCCTGACTAGAAGACATTCTATTGCAAAACACATTTTACTGTAGCCAAATATTGTACGATTATTTATGAGTGTACGCATTTCTTTAATGTCCTTTCATTTTTCAAATGTGTAGTTTTCATTTTGAATTAATTCTTTGGGCCTTTTTTATCAGCAGCAGCTCAGGGACATTTTTTAATGGACTTACCTATTATTTGAATATTTTTCTACTTTGAAGCTTTGATTTTTTTTAAATGCCCCCAAATTAAAACAAAAATTGTGAAATCTTTACCTTTAGCTTTTTCAGTTGCCCGTCTATGTCTATTTCCAAATTGGGAAACATTGACTTGTACTGCTGTGCGAGATTCTTGAATCTGTAAAACATCCAAAAATGAAGTATGCAGCACTTTCATTGATTATCTGTTTGAAAAATCTTGGCAACAATTCAGTTCACATGATATAAGATATGGAATGGCTATACAGTGAAAGGACATGTAACTCCTGTACAAGTGTAAAACAACATCTGCTAACATCCAGTATATTTAAAATGACTGGACACTGTATACAGCACACAAAAAAAATGTGGCAGGAAATTGTGGAAATATTTAGTTTAAAGGATACGTGCACAAAGCTCATATATATCACTTTAAAAAGTGTCCCCTATAAAAGCAAAGCTGTCATCCACGTGTACCTTATCTTAATATGTTATTTTAGAAGTGTTAATGATTGTACCTGGAAGAAAATTCATCAAAATCTGCAAGCAGATCACAAACACGAAGGCCTGTTCTTGCAGCTTTGGAAGAATATGTTGGTCCAATGCCTTTCTTTGTTGTGCCAATACTAATAAAAAGATGAAAAATGTGTGTTCACAAAACATGTTTTATATTAGGAAATTTTATCAGAACTCTGCTATATGCTGCTTATTAGAGAAGCATTCTGAAATGGAGAAGCATATTTTATGAAGAAAGCTGTAACCCAGGGGATGGCAACCCTTTAGGAGCTGCAGGCCAAACTAATGGAGCTTGGTGGACTGCTGGTTTTGACCTAGCTACCGATGTTACTTTCCCCTGCTGCACTGCTGTCAAGCTGCTGTCATTCTCCCTGTTATATTGCTGCTGAATTTCAGACATTGTCCCTTGCCACAAAATCACAGGCGGGACACAACTGTTTGGTGAGCCAGATGCAGCTGATGCGCTACAGGTTGCCAACTCCCTTCTCTAACCTATTTATAACTAAAGATATTCACTGTTTCTATCGTTAACTCTCTGTACAGAAAAGGACTAATCCTTGTGTGCAAATGAGATAAGCTGGGAAGAGAACAGCAAAGTGGGTGGCCAGCCTTATAAAGGACCTCATTCTCAGCCCTGCTCTTACTATTCCTTAGGGAACCTATGCAAATGGTTCCAGTGCTTAACCACCACGATAATTAGACAGTTCTTTTGAATGTCCAACCTCCATCTCTTACTACAATTTAAGTTCATTATTGCTTGTCTTGTTTTCTCTGGATACAGAGAACATCTGCCTCTCTATTGTTAAGCCTCCCCTCAGTTTTTTCTTCTCTAGACTACATAATCCCAAATCTTCCAACATTTCTTTGTATGTCATGTTTTCTAGACCTCTCATGTTTGTTGCTTTCCTTCTGACTCTTTTCAATTTGTCCATATCCTTCTTGAAGGAAGATGAACATAGATAGCACTCCAGATGAAGCCACACCAGTGCTGAATTGAGTGGAAGGATAACTTGCCATGACTTGCACGTGAATTCTCCTGTGAACAGTATGCCGTTAGCTTTTTTTGCAACTGTACAACATCATTGACACATATTCAGCTTGTGATCCACTATAACTCTTTTTCTGCAGTACTGCAGACTAGCCAGTCATTTCCAATTTGTATTTGTGCATTTGACTGTTGCTTCCTAAGTGAGGTTCTTTCCATATGTCCCTACTGAATTTCATCCTATTTATTTTAGGTCAAGGTCATTTCAGTTCTAATTCGGTCCTCTATGGGACTGTCCACACCCTGGGGGGTGGCATATCCCAGCCATCCCATGTGCCCCATTCTGCCCCACTGACCTGTGTTTGCAACCACACTCCAAAACTAGAAGTCACTGGTAGGGACCCTTGGGGACATTATTATGAGCTGGTCCCAAGCTTCCAGTTTCCAGTAGGTTTGTGAGTGGCCACTGGGGATGATCATAATATACTGGACTGCTTTAAAAATTATATTAGTTTTCCAGATTTGAAACATTATTGACAGGATAAAAGCATTGATATATAATTACTTTTTTCCCTCCTGTGCTTGGCGTTGTACTTCTTGAAGTCCATCAACAGCTTGATGAAAGTCAAACACTGCACAGCAGCAAAAACCACAGGAACAAGGTGAGAATCAAGGCAGAAAAACATTTAAAAAAATTAGACATATCTACAATTTAAGAACTAAGGGCCAAATCCAGATGAACTGAATAGGCATCAAAACAGGACTTGGGTGCCTAAGCTCGAGAGAGGAAGAAGTTTAGATACACCTCCGTGCTTGGTGTTTCCTATTATCTACCTCTGGACACTTCTGGGCTATGTGGGGTGATTCTGTCTCATTGTCCTCTGGATGGAGAGAGTGTCCCTGTCTCCTAGAGTGACTCCACAGGGATCTTACAGGCCTAGTCTTGTTTATATCATGCTCCTGGGGCCAGTCAATTTTTAAGCATCATAATTAGAAACCTACTTAATTTGCGGTTTCGTGGATTTCGTGGAAACCACAAAATCCAGAATTATCCACAGAATCAAAAAAATCAACAAAAAAATACTGAATAAAAATAAAATGCTGGGGAGCCAGTTGTCCTTGCTGCCAGGAGGAGAAGGTACCAAGGCAGGGCAGCCTAAAAGGCAGCAGACATGATGGTGGCTGCCCCCTCATCCCTTCACCCTTCTGCCAGGGCTTCTCCGTCAATCACCACCAAGGGGCGGGCAGCACAAAGGGCAGCCAGGAATCAAGACAGTGGCTGCCACCTCGTTGCCCCCCGGGGGCCTCTCTGCCAATCAGCACTGAGAGGCTGGGCCACCGAGAAATGCCTGCAAAATTGGCTCTACAGGCCACGGAAAACCCTTTGTCTCGCCACTATTTTAAATAGGTCCCTAATCATAATACATAAATGATGGTTCCTACATGGTCACTGTGGATCTTCCTGGAGGGAAAAAGCCACTGTGACTTCTAATTGTTCACTGTTCCTTTCACATGAAAACAAAGTCACTGTTTTGTTATAGAGTATTAGAAAACAACAGTGCAGTATTATTTGTTGGATGCTACCAAGTCCATTAATATCTGATGCATAAGGTTTAGGTGCATCTTATACAACTTGGGAAAAAACAATATTTTAGATGTAAATTGCACAGGAACGAAGCAGTTTTGAAAGCATCTTTGGGATCTTTCATTTGCATTTTCTCTCAGTCTTTTCCCTATCTTTAATCTCCACTTCTGTAAAATTCTTACCAATATGTGCTCTGTCTGAGATAATGAGTCTTTTCTCCCAGTCCTTTAAACCTGTCAGAAAATATACACATACATTTTAAAGTTTATATTCCCCTGTTGTTATACTCGATTTACTTTTAGTTTTTCTTTATCTTTCTTCTAGCTCCCTTTCTTATTAAATATGCTGTAACCTAGAAACCTAGTTTATTATAAACACTGGGAAAGTTATTTTGGTTAAACCATGGCTGACTATTCAGTTCCTTCGTTACCATTTTCTGCTAGTGGACTGTTTTCACATTGACTGCTTTCAGCTGGGGACTGTATTTTCTCATTTTGGTATGGACAAAAATAGTATCAAGATGTGCTTATAATGTCATTGTACTGCTAATCAGCAGTCAAAATTGTTACAAATTTAGGCAAAAGCTTTTCACTCTGTTGTTAATGATGCTAGTTGCTTCTTTCATTAAAAAGGAATAGAGTCCTGATTAACTGTCTACAGTTAGGGATGTCAACCTAATCTGGCCCCATGGGATGGATGGGGGGCACAGGGCCAGTCCATGGGCCAAACATGGCTCAGACCGGCCCCATGCACCAGATCCAGCCTGTGGGGCCGGTACAGCCCAGACAGTGCATGCAGTGTGCACCCTGGGCTTGCCCCATGCGCTGTGCATGCCAGATTATCTGCTGTATGCAGTGTGTGGGGCCAGAGCTAGCACGTGTTGCATACAGCATGCAGTGCTGGTCTGTGACCCACAGGCAGCATCGCAGGCTGGATGACAGAACTCCATAGGCCATATTTTTGACATCCCTGGTCTATCAGAATCAGTTTGTACCACAAACTTGCGTCTGCAAAGCACAGAATGGACATGTACTCTTAGGAGATGGGAAATAGGAACTGGGGGTTAACTACGGGTCCTGCTGAAGTCAACAGGAGTTTTGTCACTGACTTCATTGGAATCAGGACTTCAATCTATATCTAATATCTATTGTGGCAGCAAATGACTGTACCTATAAAATTTAGAGGCTCCTTCTTAGAAATTTGCCCAGACAAATGAAACGGAACATTTTTTCAGTAGTTCTTTCTTAATGATTTTAAGGCAAGAAATTTGCAGTACAGAATACTTGTCGCAAAAAGTCAAAATGTGGATCTGGAAAGAACTTAAGATTTAGCTGTCAGTATAAAACCATTTTAAAAAACTGCTTAACACAAACCTTTCTTCTCGTTTTTTTCAGCTTCTTCAAACAAGCCTGGTAAATGTATAACCACCCCATTACCTTTGGAAACACACAAAAGAATGATTTAAAAGCAGGAAATAGAATAGCTATTCTTCTAAATGAACAACATAAACCTCATTTTTTAAATACTGAAATATTACTAAAAACTGCTAGGACTTAAGTTTATCACACACTCATCACTAACTGGCTTCAAGAACTATTAAGACCAAATCCAGGTTTGGGGTAAATGGGTAGCAGCCTACTGAAATCTAAACCATTTTACCTGCCTACATCTGTATTTGGAGCCTGATCCACAAACAGCTGAGGTCCATAGGTTATCTTCATTCATTACAGTGGGCACTGAATCAGGCCTTTGGTCTCAAATCTTCATTAGTGTAAGATCAAAGAAGACAGCAGATTATACCAGGGACAGTTCTTACTTTAAATCTTCTTCTATATTTGCATGTCCTTTAGACTCAGCTCAAAATAGCTGTTCTGATATATGAGCGATCCCTTCTCTTTACTATGAAGCTTCAAATTAAATTCCGTAAGCAATACAGAGTGTGTACTGGAGATGGGGAGGGATTAGAGCTATAGTGAGATGGAAACAGTTGCTATTTACTTTTTCCTAGCAGCAAAAGAAATGCAACTTCTCTGCTAACTAGAGGTTGGTCATTAATTACTTTCCATGCTAACTAGCAACAGAGTAAATGAATTTGTTACCAGGGAAATAGTTTTGATATATTTTAATGTTATACGCGAATATTTGCCAGAACCAGGACTACATATCTGAGACTCTCCAAAGTTTAGGAAAATAAAAGGACAGTGAAACCTAAACATGAATCTAAGGGTATAGAGAGCTGCACAAATTACAGTGAGTTAATAAGAAGGGATTTACTGGGCTTCAGCTGCTCCACAGTGGCCATGTGAACACATGCCCCTCAGTATGTGACATTAAGACAGCTTAGGCCTGTTTCACTGAGGTCTAAGCTCCTGTTACAGGGTAAATGCTGGCACACGGGCTGATACCAAGGGCCCCAGCACAGTAAGGGTGCGGACAAGCATTCATGGGATGCAGCTCAGGTTTTGACGGCTTAGTTTAAGCCATCAAATCTAGGTTGGGATCACCACATGCAAGCATTCACCACTGCTTGAAAGGGGGCATGTGGGCAACAGGGGAGAGGGGTCAGGGGGGTGCACTGGTGGGAGCAAGGTGTTGGGGGCTGGGTGATCCTGGGGAGGGGACTTCCATGTCCAGCAGGGAGCTGCCTGATCTGGAGGTGTGTTGGTCAGGGGGCCAAACAGCTTGGTTAGGGTTGGGGATGTAAAAATAGCACAGCCCCAGGGCTGTGCTAGGGACACATACAAGTATTCATTAGGTCAGGTTAACCGATGCCAATCTACAGTTACGTCTCGTCTGATGCTGCACGCTCAAGCATTTGGATCACCCTTAGCTATATGTAACACTTATATACACCTTCACTCTCTGCCCCCTTTTAAATCTGTAATTTAATTTTGTTTATATGAAATCGAGTAATTCAGCAATCTAGTACCTTAGCAATTTTTAATATTTTTAAAAATTTAGTCCCATATTAAAGGAACAACACCTATTTTATTTAGTAAACGTTATGAAATCACAACACCTAAGATGGACCTTACATATGCACAATATTTTAAAATCTATTCTTTTTGAAGTGATTAATTATATTTGTAATTTCTTATGTGCTCCCTATAAATCTGTCCTGCTAAAGGGCGTGATAATTTAAGGCCATTTGCAGACTGCAGTTTTAACACTGGTTCAGCTGCTAGGGCTACAGATTCAAGATGAGATTCATAAATTAGGCCCAGAAAACAGTTTGTTCATGTAAAACAAGCAGTTAGGATGTGTAAAGTCAGGTTTATCAAATCCTGATAGGCTCCTGAATTCTCTTTTTTAAATCTGGTCATGGGGTTCTATTTTGTTACTAACCTATTAGATTAGCTGAGTTACAGTAAATCCCCTATTGAAAAACTGAGGATAAGGTGCAGGTCATGCAAGGGACAGCTATTTTGTATGAAATGAGGTTAGATACACCCATTTTACATTCCAGGCAGAAAAATCAGGAGGCCCAATGCAAAATAGGTTGTGATGGTACTTTTCATTGTGAAGCTGTGATACAAATAACATCACATTGTCACATGACATCAACTCAGAAAAGCTCACATCTCAAGAAGCATAGGTGGCAAGAGAGTCTAGAAATGCTTTCAGGCAGAGCCCTTTCTTGTTACCTATTTCTGGATGCAGGGGAGAAGAGGGCTGCAGAAAAGCAACGGATCATCTAGCATACATCAAAGCATTTGCATCTGCAAAGTGTGGGCACATGTACGTAAGCATGTACAACTTTTGAATATTTAAATAGAGGGCGCTAGTTAAACTTGTATCCTTAAACACTGTAAAGAACAACAAAGAGACTGAAAGGGAGAATTCATGCTTTCACTACTTCAGTTTCTCTTTAAAATGACATTGGGCACATCCCTACTGTAACATACAGGGCTAGGCAGTGCCATGCTCCAAACATCACTCTGGCATACATGCACTCCCTGCTGAATCAGTAGGGTAGCAGTTTTCATACAGTGCTGGGGGAGGCTAAATAGCTCAGTCAAGAGCCTGCAGTCTATATGCTAAGATGCCTACACTAAGATGCATGCTATTGTTCCATCCCAAGTACAGGATTTTGCATTACTTTTGATATGGGAGGTAATACGTGTGGAGCTATGTATTATGTTTCAGCAGGGTGCTCCCTGGCATACTAAGTTAATGGTACAGATATGCCCAGTGATTGTGGAATAACTGATATTTGAAAGGCAAATGAACTTCATAATCTTTTTTTTTCTGCTTGCTTTATCAAACTATGATTATGATTACCCAATATTAATGTCTGGACATGTTCAAAAGTATCTTACCAATGAAGGAAATTGCCTTTGGATTAATTATGCCGCTAGGAAAGAGGTGAAAATCGTATTCCTTCCCATCAACAACCACAGTATGGCCTGCATTATTTCCACCCTGCAAGAGAGAAACACAGAAAAATGATCAGGGCCATTGAAGTGTCTCCCTATTATAGCAAAAAGATTTAGTAGTTTGATTTTTTTTTCCTGGTTTTGTGTCTTGGTCTAGTCAGCAGCATTTCCAGCTCATCTTAGATTTTTGGATATTGTTCAACTTTCCAGTGTAGATTAGCTATTGCTTATATGGATTCTATTAGTTTTTACATATTAGAAGTATGAATGCTTGTTTTTTTAGTGATTGATAGATGTTAAAATGTTCATACTAAGTCATACAAAAAACAAGAACTCTTGGTTCCAAAATGATACCTTTTATTAGACCAACTGGAAAATGGCAAGAAACTTGTCCTTTTCTGCAAGCTTTCAGGATCAGTCCCTTCGTTAGGCTCTGGGAAAAGTGTAGATGGCACAAGATGGTAAAAAGTCCCCATAGGTAGGAAATAAACTTCATTTTTGCACAGAAGGAGTTGAAGATGGAAGGCTGTCCCTCTGGGTCCATGTGAATGTCTTTGTGAGCTGTGCTGAGTAGCTCTTTGATGTGTAGATCAGGTCGAATTCCTTCCCTGGAGGTGTCAGATAGCAGGCAGGAAGGTAAAAAAACTTCCTTGTTCTGCGACAAGGTTTAAAATCCAAAACTGGCTAAGGTTCGGCATCTTCCATGTTTCAGGGGTGTACTTGGTAGCTGTGTTGGTCTGAGACAAAAAGACATACAAAAAACTAGAACTCTTGGTTCCAAAATGGTACCTTTTATTAGACCAACTGGAAAATGGCAAGAAAACTGTCCCTTTCTGCAAGCTTTCGGGACACCTCCAGGGAAGGAATTCTAGCCAATCAACACATCAAAGAGCAACTCAACACAGCTCACAAAGACACTCTCATGGATCCAGAGGGACAGCCTTCCATTTTCAGCTCCCTCTGTGCAAAAATGAAGTTTATTTCCTACATATGGGGACTTTTTACCATCTTGTACCATCTACACTTTTCTCAGAGCCTGATGAAGGGACTTTGATCCCAAAAGCTTGAAGAAAAGGACAAGTTTCTTGCCATTTTCCAGTTGGTCTAATAAAAGGTATCATTTTGGAACCAAGAGTCCTTCTAGTTTTTTGTATGTCTTTTTGTCTCAGACCAACACGGCTACCAAGTACACCCCCAATACTAAATCAGGCACCTAGAGCAGATCAAGTCCTTAACTATCAGAGAAGTTGCTTATAACAATATTCAGAAATGTCAAAATTGCTAAGTAGCTTAAATCTCATATTTAAACATGACTTTAGCAACTAGAAGCTTATGTTTCACTGTAACAGAGTAAGATTTTTAAGAGAAAGATTTTTCAATATTTAGGATATGTCTATACAGTGCAAAGAAGACGCACCGTGCCTCTTCTGCTTGCGTTTGCTCCCAAATTAGCAGTAGAGATGTGTGTTACACTGAAGAGATGCCAATAAGTTCTGAGAGAGTTTATTGGTGTATGAACAGTGCCACAGTAATGTGGCTATACTACCTCCAGTGTGGGAACTAGCATGTGTGCGGAGGATGCAACATGTTTTAGCATGGCAGTGGCATGTGTACATGTGGTTCTGTCTTGAGATGTATAAACCTAACCTAAAGGTACTTTAGATACCTAAAATATACAAATTAGCACACAGCGGCTGCATCCAGACAAGCATGCCGCTGCTCATTGTCCCCAGGGAACACCTGTGCCATGCACCCTCTGGCACGTGGTAGGTTACGTTGGGTGGGGTAGGAGAGGCTGCAGCAGCCTTACCTGGGGTCCTGGGTGCTGAGGAAGCTGCAGCCATGTGACTTCTGCAGCTGGGAGCCTGGTGGGAAGCTGGAGCATGGCTCTGGCTGGCCAGGCTCCAGTTTCAGGCAGCGCACACTGCCTCCACCTGTGCCGCCCCGCTTTTTTCTTGTGGGGTTTTTTTGACCCTTACTCTGCCATAGGATAGTACTTGTCCCAAATGGTGCTATCCTAAAGCAGAGTTAATTAATTTACTGCACCCTAATTCTGACATACATGTAACTGCAACGCTTCGCTGAAGAGCTAATTAGCGAACTCTGCAGCAAAACACACGCGTAGCTGCAACCAAGTGTGATTTTCAAATCCCCCTTGGCACCTATTGACATCTTTAGGCACCTAAACACCTCTCAAAACCTAACCTAAATAACTTTTGAAAATAAGACTTCAGAACCTAAATCACTTGAGTGCATTTAAAAACATTGCCATCCATCCCTTAGAAAGACACAAACCCAGTCAAAGCCAGTAAGTGATACTAGAAGATGATGCCACTAAGAATACATAATCCACACAGGAGACATTAATGTTAAATGTTAATGTCCATCAATCCGACTTTAATGTTAAAATTCTCTCCATTTACTAAACATGGTATATTCACTCTTCATAGTGGTCTACAGGATTTCTCTCTTGACTCCATTTTCAATTTCCTCTGTGATCTGAGTAGTTCCATATACTGTTAGGAAAGTCTGGACACAGCTCTGGCCCAAGTTAATCAACTCCACACTTGGGCTGACTGAAAGGAATTGCTCAAGGGTGCTACAGGACCTTTGCTATCTGTCAGGATTGGGCAATGATACAGCTATGTTAACAAGGTTATAATTGGGTACTCAATATTACTGCTATCTTCAGTCACTGAAATATTATTAATCAGGCCCCAAAATCACAAAAATATTTTTCAAAATATGTAGTATAAAAAAAATAATGAAATTGTACTATTTTACTTGCCTTCTGGCATTTGAAGCACTGGGGTGCAGTTGGGTTACATTTTGAAGCTTTTTCCAACAAACATGATAGCTTTTCTTTTAAAATATTTTTTTTAAATAAAAGCTTACATATCCAAGTAACATAGCTCTAGAAGTGCTTTTAGTAAAATCATCAAATATTACGGATGTGATAAAAATCTCAACAGTTGACAATACTTTTCATTTCTACAGGCTTTATTTTATGTGGAACAGAATGTGAGTTTACATTAATTGTTGTTTCAATATATTCCAGCCCAACTGTTCTATTTAACTTTTCTGCAGTCCTGTGGTTTTCTTTTAAATCACACTTCCTTTTGTCTAAGTCAGGACTGTCCAACTTCCAAATGCCTGGGAGCCACATGTCCCATGGACCACACCAGTGGGAGCCGCCACAGCCCTCTGGGTCACATGCCCCATAGATGTCTCTCCCTCATCACTGCACTGAAAACTTGTGACCACCGCCCCATTGCATTGCACACCCATGACCCTCACCAATCTGCTGTGTGTCAGACACATAGGTTACCCATGCTACCTGTGACACGTGCGCTGCAAGTTAGCAACCACAGGTATATGTCATCTTAGAATATAGCTCTCTTGAAGAACTCCACTCAACAGAGCCCAGCAAGCAATGTTTAGAACAGCT